GAGTTGTTCATGTCTGCACCGATCTATTACTCGATCAAGGACCCCACGACCAAGTCCGTGTTTGTGTACTTGTCTGCGGGGGATGCCGACCAAAAGGATGGATGGTGGCAAGCGCGTGAAACCGGGACGCTAGCAGCCACAAGGACGTGGGTCAACATGTTTGGCAAGTTCTCCCCCACGGCAGTGAATACGACTGTCCTGGTCAAAGGCCACCACATCCAGAAGATCTCGATCGGTAACGTGGTCCACTACTTTCTTCGGCTTAGCGAAGACAACCTGGAGGAAGTACTGAACTCGAACAAGAAAAAGGCTCCATTTGACCAACCAAACGAGTTCTACGCCGACGCCCAAGCTGTCAAGGACGTGCTGAAGGCCATCATTGTTGCTGAGGCGACCAAGGTATCAAAGGTCACGGCGCACTACTCGGACTTCCTCGTTGACCCGAATGGAGACCACTCATTGCACGTGGCAAGCGGCCGGATTTTGGCCGAGCTCCTCGATGCCGACACCCTCTTCAATGAGTGCATATCCCAGATTCCGTACTTCGGCTACCAGCATTGGTTGGACACGGTCAACATGAACGACCCGGAAATGTCGGCTCAGCGCGCAGCATGGCTCAACTTGGGCGTGGGGATTCTGACCCAGTACCCCCGCGACATGTGGTCCGACCATTCGGTCGCGCTGGGGCGCACGTATACGGGCAGTGCCAAGTTCACGTTGGTGGCGTGTGCGTTCTAAACATGATGAATACTTAATTTTATTGCTGCGATGAGCTTGACTCCATCAGCTGTGCAGGCACCAGCACTCAACGGTTGCCATCGATCGACCTATGTATCAAAGCGGATCTCGCACGGTGCGACGAAAGACGAATCATTGCAGCGAGTTGTCGCACCGAACGCACGGATCCGAGCTGAAAATTTAGAGATCGATCTGGCACAGGGTTCGACCCCTCCCCCAACATGTGCCGTGTGTCGTCCGCTCTGACCAAATATCGCAGCTTCTAATTTCCACAAAGACCGCCGTCCCAGACATCGATCAAGACGCAGGACTCGTACGGGAGACGGTTTGATCTGTCCACTAGATTATCCAGGAAGCGACTGCTGCAGATGGCCATCTGTGCGTGCCACGCCATTCGACTTCAATGCGACAAGGACCGACCTGTCATAGCTACATGGAGGCACGACCTTTGTTGCCGACGTCGGTGTACCCGTCACCACCTGACAGCTATCAGGCTAGCCCGCCTGCGAGGTCTATTACAACGTGCAACCCACTCGGTGGGAGTTGCATGCACGGGGTGCCTATGAATTGCGTTGACCAAACAATCGACCACAGGACGCAAGTATGCCCACAACCTTGAGCAAGGACGGCAGCCGGTGGAAAGACATTGACTTTTGGGGAAACATCGAGTTGCCACCCGTGGAGGAAAATTGAATTGACGATGAGAAAAAGTATGCGTGATGCACCTCCAGGACGCGAGCCACGACACCTAAAACGCACACGCCGCCGTCTTGATCACTGGCGTGCTCGAGTACGTCCGTCCGAGCTCTGGCGAGTGGTCCGACCACGTATAGCTGCCATGCTGGTTGTAAATCCCAACGCTCAAACTTAGCCAGAGCGCGCGCTGGGAAAGCTTCTCCGGGTCCTTCATGTTGACAGCGTCCAGCCAGAATTGGTACCCAAAATACGGCGTTTGCGATACACAGGACTTGAACAGGGCGTCCGAGTTGAGCAGTTCTGCCGTCACGCGGCCCGACGCGACGTGCAGCACATGATCATCGCTGGGGTTGATGAGGTAGTTTGAGTAGCTCGCGGTGACCTTGGCCACGGCTTTGGCTTCCGCGAGGATGATGGACTTTACCACAGCCTTCACCGCTCCAGCGCCGGCGTACGCTTCGGTTGGTCGGTCCAACGGCGATCGCTGTAGGTTGTTGTTGAGGACGCTTTCGAGGTCCGACTCGCTCAGCCGTAGAAAGTAGTGGATGGCGTTGCCGATCGAGATCTTCTGGATGTGGTGGCCATTCATCAGCACGGTTTCGACACGAGCCACGGGGGTGTACATCCCAAACGAGTTTACCCACGATTTTGTGGCTGCAAGCGTCCCGGTTTCACGCGCTTGCCACCATCCATCCGTGCGACTGGCGTCCCCCGCAGACATGTACACAAACACGGACTTGGTCGATGGGTTCTTGATCGAGTAATAGATCGGTGCAGACATGAACAACTCGTGGTCGTCTTGATGGGCAGTCACGTAAAAATCGACTTGGTTCACGGTGGTCATCGTGTCTGGCAATGTCTTGGGGATGATCCAGCCTAGTGTGGATGCGGCATCGAACGACGGCTGCACGTAGGTGCACGTCTTGGTGGCCGAATCAAACACGGACGCAAAGCACAGGTTCTGCGACGGCACGCACAACTTGTAGCAGTCGGACGCAGTCGAGGCCGTCATGGCTCCGCTGACCACGTCACTGCCGAATGTCCCCGACAGCAGCACGGGGACCAGAGGCGTATTGACGAGGCTCAGTTGCTTGGTGGCGCTGGCAATCGGCGCATACATCACGCACACTTTGGTATTGGCGTTGTAGCCAAACAGCGTGTTCGCCTTGGTCTTGGCCGACGACGCACATGCTTGCAGCGAGGCGACCCCGGGGATCGACTCCTTGACATACGCGGCAGGAAGCGCCGACATGGTCATCTGCGAGTACTGGACGCCGCCGCTGTCGACGTTCGACACGGGATCGTACACCCACCCCGCGACAACATCAGGAAACGTGGAGCCTCGAGGCTGGTACTGCTTGCACGTTTTCGCCGCACTGGCGTACTCGATTCCGGCACAATTGCCTTTGACTCTGCACGCCTGGACGCAATCGGCGTTGGTGGCGACGTTGGATACGGAGTTGAATACAAACGCGTCGTCCGACGCTTGCGGATACACGATCGCTTGTCCCGACGCCGTGACCATTTGGAGTGTCGACGCCAGCGAGTTGATATGCACCAAGCAGTACAGGCGGCTCGGCCAGTACGTGAAAAAGTTGTTGGCGTACGCGGCGGTGATCGTCGCACACTCGCCTTGCGACGTCACGTTGATGTACACGTTTACATCCAATGCCGACTCGATGGAGAACATGGGGGTCGGGCCAGACGCGTGGGAAAAGTTGTTGGCTTTCTGCGCAACTTCGAACGACTCGACTTGGGAAATGACACTAACGAGGACGTCTTGGTCGATCCATTGGGCGCCACGGATGTAGCTGAACGCGATGGACGGTAGCGGGTGGGACCCAACCACCGCCGACTGGACGCTTGGCAGCGGCCCGATCGGATCGGTCACGTTTAAAAATCCAGCACGGACGCCACGGTACGCCATGCTGTTGCCAGCTTTGTTCTTGAGATAGCACGTCCCTCCATCGGTTGGCGCCCACACCCACAGCGAGCAACCCGGCGTCGCTTTGCAATCATCGCAACAGTCATTGAAGCTGCTGCGTTTGGTCGATATGAGATCGTTCAAGGGGTAGTCAACGTCATACTGGACAGCGCCGCATGCCGAGGGGGGAGAGGGCGTTGGAGGCGGCGGCGTGACAAACGAGTCCACGTATGCCGCTCGAGCGCCTTGGTACGCAGTCGGAACACCCTTGAGGCTCTTAAGGAGACATGTGCCGACGCCACTCCGAAGCACCCATACGTATGCCACGCACCCCGTTGTCTGGGCGCAGAACGCGCAGCACAAATCAGCAGTGGCCAGCTGAAGGGGATCGCCGAGGTCGTTGCCAGGCAAGTCGGTGTTTTCTTGGACCGCAGAGC